CAGATCTCTGTGAGTTCGAGGCCAGCCTGGTCTACAGAGTGAGTTCCAGGACAGGCACCAAAACTACACAGAGAAACCCTGTCTCGAAAAACAAAAAACAAAAAACAACAAAAAAAAAAAAAAGAAAGAAAAAGAAAAAGAAAAAAAGAAGAGAGTCTGTACACAAAATTCCCAGCCAGCCACAGTCTTGAGGCTCACACACATGTCTCCGTGTGGCTTCTTGGGTCTTCTCCATTGAGCACCGTGACTGCTTCGACATACCAGTCTTTTGTGGATACAGGCATGAGAGCAGAATCTGGACTTCTTTGTTTTTGTTTTTTTGAGACATGGTTTCTCTGTGTAGTCTTGGTGCCTGTCCTGGAACTCCCTTTGTAGACCAGGCTGGTCTAGAACTCACAGAGATCTGCCTGTCTCTGCCTCCCGAGTGCTGGGATTAAAGGCATGGACAAATCACCACTGCCCAGACTTATTATTTTTTTAATGATTTATATGCACTGGTGTTTTGCCTGCATGTGTGCCTACGTGAGAGTGTCAGATCTTGGAGTTACAGACAGTTGTGAGCTGTCATGTGAGTGCTGGGAATTGAACCGGGGTCCAGTGCTGTTAATTGCTGAGCCATCTCTCCAGTCTCAAGGAATCTGGACTTCTATTCCTTTGGTCACCAGTCTGTTCCCCATACTTCCACTTCTTCCGTTACGTTTGTTTGTGTGTGTGTGTATGTGTATGTATGTATGTACATGCGTGGGCCTGTGGAGGCTAGGTGTCTTCCTCAGTTGCTCTCCTATTTATTTATTTATTTATTTATTTATTTATTTATTTATTTATTTATTTATAGACAGGATCTCTCATTGAGCCAGAGCTCCACATTTTGGGTCAGTAGTTGGCCATTAAGCTCTTCCTTCCATGCTAGGGTTGTAAACACAGCCAGGTGGGTGCTGGGGATTCGAACTCAGGTCTTCATGCTCACACAGCAAGCAGTTTACCTTCTGAGCTGCCTTTCTAGCCCCAAGGCTATTTTGTTTTAAACTACAAGGAATGAAGAGTCCCTAGGCTACTCAGTAGCTTCCTGATCCAGCCTCCTGCCTTCACTAGGTAGAGGAGGATAGACAGCCCTCTGTCTTTGTAGAGCTCAGCACCCCCTCACGGGACTCCCCCCAGATCCCTAAGAGGCTCCCACTGTAAGGAAGCAACCCTTGAGATAGAGGGAGAATACAAAATTTGCCCTGATTCCCCCACTTTACCCCCAAATCTAAGTCTCTCAGTGCTTCAGGTCACCCTCTGCACATGCCCAGTACCCTCCCATGCCCCAGTGTAGCCTGCTGGATCACATCCATAGCAACCTGCTTGGCAACCTGCCTGGGAACCAAGAGTTGTTGGGCCAAGGCCATGAATGCCAACTGTCAGACGGGGCTGAGACTGTGGCAAGGCTGAAGTCTCGGCTGGATTTGGGGTTTCAGGTAAGTCCCTTTGGAATCAGACCTGTGGCTTTGGGCCATGGTAGACCCTAACAAGTCTTTGGTGGCTGTTGCTGCCTCTGAATAAGTCCACAAAGGGGATGGCCCTGTGCTAGTCCTGTAGGTGACCAGGTTAGGGGGGGAACTGGTGGCTTTTGGGGGGGTCAGGTGGCCAGAGCAGGGTGTGTAGAGAAAGGGCATGCTCCGGGGTTCTAGCCACTGGGGAGGAGGAAGGAGGTAAAGCCCAACGGGAGCTTCTTGTGGCTCTTCTCTGGAGTGGTTACAAGCTGTGAGCACGCAGCTTTGAAGGAGGATTAAAGTGGGACTTCTTTAAGTTTCTAGCTTCCATTCTTTCAGCCCTCCCTAGATCCCGAGGGACATTCTGAGATAGGTACTCCAAATCGGAAACTCTGTGTGTGTGTGGGAACCCTAGGGAGTGTCCTCTGCCAGGCCGAGACAACTGTGATGCTTGTGTTTGCTCCAGGTGGGTGCTCTGAGGGCCATGCAGCCCTCTCCCAGGCCTGGGCTGCCTCTGCCCAGATACTGCAGTGTGGCCACACCCCGGAAAGCCCCTGACCTGGATGGTGCCGTGCCCCCCTGCGACCCTTTCACCTGTCCCTTTGCCACACAGGCACCCTGGCTGCCCATGAACTGCACACTCACCAGGTACCAGCTTCTGCCCTCTGTCCTTCCTTTCTCCTCTGTTCCTGGTCCAGTTGAAAGTGCCTCAAATGCCTGGGATTTTCCAGAATGGCATCTTCGGTCAGCTGTCTAAAGTGTGACTATGAGATGGCAATGGAACTTCAGCCTGTAGCAAGTTCCAGGGACCAGTCTGCCTGGGATAGGGGCATACCAGCCCAAATACTCAATTTAAAAAAAAATTAATTTTTTAAAAGTGTTTGGGTGTTCTGCCCGCTTGCATGTCTGTGTACTACATGCATACAGTACCTGCAGAGGTCAGAAGAGGGCAGCAGATCTGCTGGAACTGGAGTTACAGAAGATTGTTAGTAGCCATGTGGGTGCTGGAAACTAAATCCTGGTCCTCTGCAAGAGCAACAGGTGCTCTTAACCACTAAACAATCTCTCCAGTCCATTGCTCAAGTTCTTAATTTATTTGTTTGGAACACCTTGTTCAAGGCCAAGTTAAGCTTTTTTTGTTGTTCTTTTGGTTTGGTTTGATCTTTTTGAGACAGGGTTTCTCTGTGTAGCCCTGGCTGTCCTGGAACTCGCTCTGTAGATCAGGCTGGCCTCAAACTCACAGAGATTTGCCTGCCTCTGTCTCCTGAGTGCTGGGATTTAAAGAGTGCGCCACCACCGCCCAGTCTCTCTCTCTCTCTCTCTCTCTCTCTCTCTCTCTCTCTCTCTCTCTCTCTCCCTCCCCAAGTTAAACACCTTTATATTCAGACTTGCCTACAAAACAGCTTTTTCAAAAGCCCAGGCCCTCTTGGGCTGGAAAGATTACTCTGCAGTAAAGAGTGCATACTCATTCTTACAGAAAACCTGACTTCAATTCCTAGCACCCACATCAGGCAGCTCACAAATGCCTGTAACTCCAGCTCCAGGGAATCTGAACACATACACTTCAAAAAGTAAAAAATAAATATTTGAAGGAAACAAAACCCCAAAGCCCAGATCCTCCATTCTGCAACTGCCCCAGGCCAGAGAATCCTCGGAATTGGCTTTGCCTTCCACTACTCCTCAGCCCCTTCAGGAGCTCCTCCGCTGCCCCAGCTCCATCACTTCCACATCCCTCTGACCCCTGGAGCCAAGCGACTTACAGTTTGGCTCCCCTGTCACTTTGTCACCTCATCCTAGAATCCCACGCTGTCTTTCAAGCATTGATTAACACAAGTAGAGAAGCAGATTTCATTTTGGTTATCCTGAAACAATGCGCAGTCCAAAAAAGGGCCCTCTGTGCCCTTCACTTTCTGCTAACTCCAGAGTTTTAGCTGGTCCTACAGGAAGTCATAGATTGCCACATTCTCCCTGGATTTCTTTTGCTCACACCCTTATAATCCTCATGCAGTGAGTCTCCTCAGATCAGACCCCGAGGCATGTATCTTTCTGGCTTTATTATTTCATGCTATATTTATATATTTATCTAGATGGGGACACACGCTATAGCTCACATGTGGCAGTCAGAGGACAACCTATGGGAGTCAGTTTTCTTCTTCCACGATGTGGGGTCTGGGAATTGAACTCAGACTGTCAGGCTTGGTGCCAAGCACATTTACCCTCTGAGCCCTATTGATGTTTTTAGGGTTTTGCGCTCACCCCTTGATATCATTTGCTTTTCCCAGGTATGCCTCTTGTCACCCATGTTCCCACACTGCTGGTACACCATGGCAGGGGCTTAGCTGGCTGGGAAGAGTTGGAGATGCTGCTGGCCCCTGGGTCCTGGCCAGGAGGGAACCTGATGGCTTTTATTATCTGGCTCAGATCAAGGCTGCTCCAGAGGCAAGTGCTTCTCCCCATCAGCTCCCCACACACTCCTCTGGGTGGCGCTGTTGCACCCGATGTGTCTTGGCTGCGTACATCCGGAAGTACATTGGTTCTTGGCTGAGTTGTTAGGGCTGTGGGGTGAAGTGCTGCAAGATGAGCAGCATGACTGACAGAAACCTACTGTGTGCTTCCCATTCTGAGGCTGTAAGTCAGGCATTTCAAGCTTGGGTCTTTCTAAGGGCCACGAGGACGAGTCTGTTTCCTGCTCCTCTCATAGTTTCAAGTATTTGCTCAAAATCGTGGCGTTTCCTTAGCTTGAACAAGCAGCACCCTGATCTCTGCCTTCGATTTAACATGGCTTTCTCTATTATCTATTCACATTTCCTCTCTTTCCCAAATGGTTTTTATTTATGTGTATAAGGGGGTTGGGTCTCCTAAAGCTGGACCCACAGGTGACTGTGAGCTGCCTCATGTGGGTGCTGGGATCTGAACCCAGTTCCTCTACAAGAACAGTAAGTGTGCTTAACCACTGAGCAATCCCTCCAGCCCCTCAAATCTCCTCTTCGTATAAAGACATCAGTTAGAATAAGGGCCTGCCATGCTCACTGTAACCTTGACTAATTATACCTGCAATGGCCTGATTCTTAAGAGGACATCGCATGCTGGGGTACTGGGAAAAAGACTTGAATCCATCAACTTGCAGAAAGGAGAACACAGTTTATCCCTTAACAGTGAGAAAAATGTACATCAGTTGTTCAGGAAGATTCAGTGTGTTGAATCATGGGCCTGAGCCTGAAAGAGGAACTGCGATGTACTTCTCACATGTGGGCACTTGCTCTCACAATACACAATCTTGTTCTGAAATGCCAGGAGCCAGGCCTGGGCTCCACTTCAGTGGCGACTTTCGTGGATCTCTCTGTTTGTTGAAACAAGGTTTCTCTGTGTAGCCCTGGCTGTCCTAGAACTCATTCTGTAGAACAGGCTGGCCTCAAACTCTGAGATCCACCTGCCTCTGCCTCCCAGGTACTGGGATTAAAGGTGTGTGCTCCCAATTGACATTGCTTTTTAATTGCCACAATGTAGCATATGAATGGCTTATCACATTTAAGAGAAGGGCAAATCATCAAATGCTGAAAAGTGAACCCCTAAAGCCACCTGGCTTGGACTTCTCTCTCTCTTTTCTTTTCCCCCAAGACAAGGTTTCTCTGTATAACAGCTCTGGCTGTCCTTGTAGACCAGGCTGGCCTTGAACTCACAGAGATCCACTGCCTCTGCCTCCTGAGTGCTGGGATTAAAAGTGTGTACCACCACCTCCTGGCTTAGAATTCTCTTTTTAAAATTAGTTTTATTTTGGCCAGGCAGTGGTGGCGCACGCCTTTAATCCCAGCACTCGGGAGGCAGAGGCAGGCGGATCTCTATGAGTTCGAGGCCAGCCTGGGCTACCAAGTGAGTTCCAGGAAAAGGCGCAAAGCTACACAGAGAAGCCCTGTCTCGAAAAACCAAAAAAAAAAAAAAATTAGTTTTATTTTATGTCTGTGTGAATGTTAAGTATACCATGTGCGTGCAATGCCAACAGAGGCCAGAAGATCGTGTAGAATCCCCGCTCCCACCCAGAACTGGAGTTACAAACGGTTGTGAGCTGCCCTGTGAGAGCTGGAAACCAAACTTGGGTCTCTGTAAGAGTAGTAAGTGGTCTTAATCACTGAGCCATCTCTCGGGTTCCAAGTTTTAATTTTTTGACATAGGACCTTATGTATCCCAGGATGCCCTGAACTTTGAACTTGTGATTCTCTTGCCTCTGCCTCTCAGGAGCTGTGATTGTATGTTTCACTACCATGCTTGGCTTGTGTAGTGCTGGGCATTGAGTCCAGGTCTTCTACGTACTAGGTATGCACTCTACCGACTAGCTACATTCCCAGCTCCGGTACTTTACTTTCTGGAGTCAGACTTTGTGAATGTGGTTCC